AGGGGAGGATGTGTGGTGCATTTCCCCTGTCCAAGCGGAAAAAGCCCAGGACTATGTGAATACAATTAAGGACTTGAAGTATCTTCTCTGTATAAAGCAATACGCAGACAAAGATATTGAAGAGCCAAAAAACCTGCAGCTGAAAGAGTATTATCTGTGATCAGAACTGGGACGGGGGCTTGGTAGGCATGGGCTATGCTTAACGAGGCAATAGCTTCTTATAAAATGTCCCCTCCCATAGATATTGGCTGAAGATCCCAAGTTAAAGAAACTGAAACAATTTTGTGCTGGGATGGTCCCTGCTTTTGTTCACCCCTCCCTCTATAGAGCACTAAAATTAACTTTCCCCTGGGATATAGGCGGTCTTTCACAAGACGGTACGATCAAAACTGAGATGGTCCACGGGTCAATCGGAGAGGCTGTCGGTATCCTTACCACCTCCATGTTCAATTCAGGAAAACAATTCTAATCGGTTTGATAATGTCTCTCTGGTTAGCTAGTTGGAATGCCCAAGTCCTGAGGTTGGAGTCTCGCAGGTCGAGGCTCTCGTGACCTTCAGCGTCTCGGGGTGGATGTTGTATGAAGAAACCCGTTTTTCTTCTCAGGACTATGAGGGAATTCTGTCTAGGGGATTCTCTCTCTACTCAGCATGTTCTGATGGACGCTCGAGGTGTGTCTCTTGGCTAGTGAGCAAGTCTTTGAAGGCTGCGTGTACTCTTGTCTTCGCAGATCCGGCCGGCAGACTTTGCGTGCACTTGTTACCATAAAGGATAAGGCTCTTTGTCTCATTGAGGTTGATCTGCCCAATAAGCATTTTGTGCGGCCTTCTTTGTTTCAGCAGATCGATCCTTTTTGACGACTCTTACAAAGATTGTATAGGGCCAAATCCGGGTACTAACAACCGGGACGTGAAACTGATTTGGGACTTTATCGACAAGTTTGATCTTGTCCTTAGGTACCGGAATGAACATCCTCGGGAGGTAGTGTAGACTTGGACTAATAGTGACGGCTCGGCTACTGAGATGCGTTCTACCTACCTCGACCAAATCTTAGTCAGTCGATGTAGGCTCTTTCGTGTGTCCAACTTTCCATTATATAGTTTATTCGCATCATGGGCTTGTCCGAGTCCGTGTAAACTTATATAAGCCTAAGGCTAAGATGGCTGGCTCCTGGAAATTTAACTGCTCATTATTTGGTGAGCAAGATTTCCGGGACCAGCTGTTACTAATGATACAGAGGGCTGTGTTTGGGAATACCTGGTGGGATAATTTAAAATCCAAAATTGGAGCGTTTGCTGCTGATTATAGTTGTCGGCTCAATCTAGAAAGATTACAGGCGCAAACAGCTTGTGAGAAAAAAGTTGATCGGGTGATCAAATCCCGTGAGAGTGGGTAAGGCAGATTTGGCCTCCATGCTTATCAAGAAGGTTCAAGCTCTGGTAGTTAGGATGAGGAAGGCGCCTTCTGGAAGGAAGACGCCAGTAAGAACTACCCATCACTGAGAAGTCTGCACTCGTGCGAGGAGGAGGCCAACCGTTTACCCTGAGCCGAATACTTCATCTACCGTGAATGTTGTCGTGCTCTGAAACGCATCTTATGGGCGTCGGATTGTCTCTCCAACGTCGGATTGTCTCTCATTGGCCCCCTTTTTATTTCTTTCCTTATTTTTCTTTAAGTTTAATTCCCCATCCCCTCACTCCTTAAGTGGTCTGTGATGTTAGTTCTCAGGTGGATTCGGGGCGCCTTTTGTATGGGATGAATGAATGTTCTATATTATTATAGTTCCGCATTGATCTCATCCAGTTAACTAATGTTTCTGCCACATTTAGTGGTTGTGGTGGTTTTATTACTAACATCATTTTGTTTAGTTTCTTGTAAATAGTTTTATTTCCATATTGAAAATCATCATTGGGGCTAGTTTTTAAAATTGTTGCTTTATTCTCCTGTGGCACCATGCATAATTAGAAAACTGAAAAGAGATATTCATAAATATATGATTTGTTTTTTCGGTTTGTTAACCATTTGATAATTATTTAGAGCTGAGAAATATTTCGGAGTTGAGAATAATTCTCTAATTGCGTTTAGGCGATCTGAGAGAAGGAAAAAAAGGAGGAGGAAGGAAAAAGAAAGAGAAATAGATGGTACAAAACCCGGTCATAAGTACACACGCTCAGCTGACACATAACAGGTGTCAAAAGATATCTAGGTCAAAGTACCTGACCGAAATCCACGAAAAAATGGAAGTTTGTTATATTTGGTTGAAGAAATAGAGTTAAGAGACAATGAAAAAAAAAAAGAAAAAGAAAGAAAAAAAAATATAATACGAAACCAGGTCGTAAGCAAAAACACACACGCTCGACTGGCACATATCAGATGTCAAAAATATCAGGTCAAGCACCGACCTACTTTCGTGTCCGCGGAGGATGGGAGTTTGTTATCAATTTGGCTGAAGAATAACATTTTAGGGGCAATGAAAAAAAATATATTGATAAGTAACAAATGAAAAGGATGTCATTGAGATGATAGGTAACGGATGGGAAACTGTATCTAAGGATATGAAAACAAAACATTAATACACGAAAGCCAGATAATTCTAAAGTTGAAAAAACCACCCAAGGTGAAAATGTTTTTTTGAGATAATTAAGATTTTTGTCAACAAGCTCCGAGCGAAAGAAAAAGGTGAAATATTTGTATTAGCTCGCGAGAACGCCACGCAGTCTAGGAGAATTCCTTTCTTAGATCGCATCCAATTAGCGATAGGCTGTTTTGACAGATACCACGTGTAAAAGAAACCGATAGCGTCATTCGATCACATACGAAAAGGGCAAATTTAATTTTTTTTTTTTTAAGCAAGGTGTTTCTTCCCCCAGAACAAAGCCACGGATTGTACACGCCCGATTAGAGACGTCACGAAGGAAGGAGGAAAGATACCGACCGGAGTCTCATTAGCCGAGGACAGTCACATGAGACATGAGGGAGGAGGAGAGACACCCGACCAGAGTCTCATTGGCCGAGAGCGGTCACATGATGTGCGAGGGAAAGATGCCCGACCTGGACCCCATTGGTCGAGAGCGGTCACCTGACATACGAGGGATCAGGGGAAGCGGGTATACACCTCCCCCAGAGGCACAGTAAGGAAGTAGGAGTGAAAGTAAGTTACCGATAATGGAAAATCCCTAATCAGAAATAATACGTCTTTAGAATTATCAAGAAAACCCTGGCGCCGACAGACCCACCCCAGTTTTTGACTGCCTCAATAAAAGCAGGACCCCAATCGACAGAAATAAGTTGGAGCTGTGCCGCGGACAGCGAGGGAGCTTGAGCGCGGGCGGCGGGCCCGGTTCATTCGCCCCCTTGCGGGCAAGAGAGGCTGAAGAGAGAGTTGCAGTTGCGCTTCGGACGAAGTTGGAGTTGCAGCGCGGACGGCGGGCCCTGTTCATCAGTCCCCTTTGCGGCAAGAAAGGCCGGTTCGTTTGGCCTAAGAAGAGAAATTCGTCCAACCCAAGTCGAAGTGAAGAAATTCACCCAACTCAAGCCGAAGTGAATAAGCTCGTCCAACCGAAGCCGAAGAGAAGAAGTTAATTCGCGCGCTGACGGCGAGGGAAATCAGCCGTGAACGACAGGTAGAGATCAGCGCCCAGTGTTGAAACCAAACCACACCCCGAAATGCAAATTTCTAGAGAGCAAGCAACTTGAAGCCTTAAAGTTGTATGGTAGAAGCTTGGTGCCACGGTCCACAGAACGGGTCGGGAGGTAGGAATAATCTTGTGTAACAAGCAGTTGATATAAAGAGTTGTTACCTTTTTCTTCAATAATTTTTGACCTTGTGAGTTTTTCTTTTTCTTGTGTGTTATCACCCCCGTTGGACTCAGCTTGCATACGGCCCCAATCCCTGTTTGATCCCGTCTGTCTAAGATCTAATCACAACGTGGGTAGGCAGACCGGAGATCAGTGCAGTTACCCTAGTAACCAGGCGTTGGAAGCGAGTTGGGAACGACGAGGCTGGTATTCATCTAACCAAAGAGTTAGAACGTCACACTTGGAGCAGCGAGGAGCGAACAGCTGACGCCGCGGCAAAGACGTCACAACTGGTGTCGTGACCATAGGATCATAACCCTGGACCACGTCAGGTCACAGTTGGCGCCGCGAACGAGATCGAACGACACAGTCGACGCTGCGACCAGGGGTGACGACGTCACACTCCCACGCACCAAGGACGATGAATTGTACATATAGGGACTAGTTAGTATTTTCATGGAGACATTGATGTATTATGGTGGAAGTGTTGAGAAAGGTATGTAAGAATGTGTTGTTTTGGTGTAAGGAATATTGTTTGTAAGATGAGGCCAGCGATTGTGGCTAGCTAAGTTTAAAGTTAAGACAGAAGAAAACCGTCCCTTTTTCCCTTCCCCGCTTTTTTCGACCTTGTGCCACATTTTCTGGATAAAAACAGAAATAAATATCCTCAGTAGAATAGGACTTTCTTAAAGCCTACACCTGTATACTTTTGTCATTACACTGTCTTCATATCATTTTTAGTTCTTTTTCAGCTTTCGTGTCTTTTTTTATTTCTTTCGTTCTTTCTGTTCTCTTTCATTTTTATCTCGGTTTATTTTTTTTCTTGAATTCTTCTTTCGGTGTCATTGCGAATTATTTATTTAATTCATTAATTAATTCATTTACACATTTTTCAGTTATTTCTTTCCTTATTTATGTCTTCCTTTCTCTGTGTTACTTGCATTCATCTTTAAATGCCTCGTTGGCTTTTTTCTGTCTTTTTAGATGTTTTTTTTTTCTTTTTTCTCTTGCCTTCTTCTGTCAATATTAGTGAAACCTACTTTCGTTAACTGATTCATTATTCTTTCTTTCTTTCTTTCTTTCTTTACCTGCTATTTTCCATGCAATCTTCTATCGATATCATGTTAACATTCTTCCTTTCTTTCGTAATTTCTTTCTTTATTCATTCTTTCTTTTCTATTCTTTCTTTTATCTGTTATTATCATGTTGACTTTCTTTTTCTGCTTTTGTTGCTTTATCGTTTCTTCCTTTCTTCCTATCTTTCTTTTTATATCTGTTAATTTCGTTTCATTCTTATATCCATATCCGGTTCACTTTCTTTCTTTCTTTCTTTCTTTCTTTTTTTCTTTCTTTCTTTCTTTCATTCTTTCTTTCTTTCTTTTCAGCTTTTCTTTCTCTCTTATTACCTTACATTCTCGTACTGATATCCTCTTGACCTTCTTTCTTTCTTTCTTTCTTTTCAGCCGTTCTTTCCTTTCAGCCTTTCTTTCTCTCTTATTTCCTTACATTCTCGTATCGATATCCTCTTGACTTTCTTTCCTTCTTTCTTTCTTTCTTTCTTTCTTTCTTTCTTTCTTTCTTTCTTTTATCTGTTATTTTCCTTGCATGCATTTATCTATATCATGATGACTTTCTTTCTTTCTTTTTTCTTTCGATCGTTCGTTCGTTCTTTGTTTTACTTACTTATTTGTTTATTTATTCTTTCATTTATCTGTTATTTTCCTCGGATTCTTCTATAAATATTCTCTTGACTTTCTTTCTGTCTTCCTCTCTTTCTTTTAGCCGTTATATACTTCTGTCTTTCTTTCTTTGTCCTTTATTTCTGTCTTTCTTACTTTTATCTGTTATTTACCTTACATTCTTCTATTATTATCCTGTTGTCTTTCTTTCTTTCTTTCTTTCTTTCTTTCTTTTATGTGTTATTTTCCATGCATTCTTCTGTTGATTTTCTTTGTTTGTTTCTTTTTTTCTTTGATGTGTTATTTACATCGAATTCTTCTATCGTTATAACGTCTTTCTTTTTTTATTCCTGTCCGTCTTTTTTTTCCATTCCTTCTTTTTTTCTTTCCTTCTTTCTTTTATCTTTAATATATTATGTTTATGCATTCTTTTGTCGATATCCTGTTGACATTCTTTATGTTTTTTCTTTCTTTCTTTGTCTTTACTTTTGATCTTTCTTTCGATACCATTGAAACATATTTTATTCATTTCTTTTACTCTTTCTTTTTCTCATTTTTCTTATCTTCATTTACTTATATTTTTCTTTTTTTTCTTTTCTATTTCTTTCTTTTTCAGTTATTCCCTTTTGCTCTCTAACTTTCCCCTTTCATTATTTTGTAATTCTTCCTAGTCCACCTTTTCTTTCATTTTTGTTCAGATTCTCCTCTTTTCGTTGTGCCTATCATACTTTTTATATGTTTCTCTTTAAAGTTGGGAAGAAAGGCCTTTTGATAAATATTCTTCAATATTTCTACAGAGCCTTGTTGAGAATCGAACGTATCGTATTTACCATCGATTGCAACAACAATTAAAATTCAAAGATGAAAAGGATCGATTGTTGTGCTAGAAAATCCTCTCATATCATATCAAGCTCGGTGTAATGAATCGATATCAGTCATCAAATATCGATATCTCTTAGTGATTAATCGATCTTGTCTACAGGGCAGAAAGTCCAGATAAATTATATATGATATATATATATATGAAATCCAGATAAATTATATATATATATATATATATATATATATATATATATATATATATATAATTATTTATTTAAAAATAAACAAGTTCGCGACAAAAGAGGTCTCATGTTTCAAAACAAGTGCCGAAAACTTTCGGCTCTTGTTTTGAATCATACCTCTTTTTAAATAATTTAAATAAATATTTATGCTCTACTTTCTATCTAGAACTATTTAAAAAAAAAAATAATAACTAAAATACTAAGTAACTTTGGATTATTTACCTAACCAGTTCCTTCCTATATTCTATATATTTTCACACACACACACACACACACACACACACACACACACACACACACACACACACACACATATATATATATATATATATATATATATATATATATATATATATGTATGTATTCAGTTTTATGGATATAAGTTTGTGACCCTGGCTCTCACGCTTTTGCGGTCATCAGAAAAACTAGGTTTTTTATTGGATGTATTTATGCTTGTTTGACTATGTTTAGTGGTGGGAGGGAAAATTTATTCCTGTGTTTGTTTGGGGTGACACTGTCATACGCATAGACACACTTACATCCAGGTGTACGCATTTTAGTTGACACAAACACATCCATATAAACAATCCGAGGCTAGGGGCAGACACATATGCAAGCTGCGTATGTATGTATCTCCGAAAGTACGAGGACAATGATCACTTCTAAGAAAAGTAGAGAAGGGCTCCAAAATGAAAGAAAAAAAAACGTAAACAACTGAAACGAATCCTTGGCCTAAAGAATGAGATTGCCGTATGAAAATTCAAAGAGAAGCCGAAATATCAAATTCAAGCAAAGGCACAGTGAATCAGACATTATGAAAAAGCAATCAGATTCTTATGGCAAAAATATTAACACATTAATCAAGATTACATTTTAACTATCAGAATTGTTGTTTCTGTTAAAGTTTCATACTATATATATATATATATATATATATATATATATATATATATATATATATATATGTGTGTGTAGAACTGTTAGACTAATGGTCCAGAGTTCTTTTGTGTTTTTGTTTCTATTTAAAAAAAAAAAACAGTGCTCGATTCATAAGTAGAGCCTAGATTAAAATAAGACCAAGAAATTGTTCAGTCTTTCTTAAACAGAACAATAAATAGAAGGAGAACGTGTAAAATCTGCGATGACCGTTGCAATTTATGCCTACATGAAAAACTACACATTATTAAGTTTCTAAAAAACGAAAATTTATTAAATCAAGGAAATGAGATAACGTTTTTTTTTTCCGACACCACCAAATATTCGCCTTGAATGATTAAAAAAAAATTTCAAAATCTATTAACAAGTTCAAAAAAGCAATAGTTTTACAGACACAATTCAATCATAATATTAAAACCCCTTTAAGAAAAAGAAAAAAATAAACGCCAAAAACTACATAATTAAAACATCAATCAGTTAAAGTCTTAGCATACAGTAATTAAAAAAAAAAAGAACTACTACAACAGTTAGAGTTTTAGCAGGGAGTCTGATGAGATTAGCCATTGTAGCCGGACAAAAAAATAAAAAAATAAAAAAAAGCAACAACATTACACGACTCCAAAAACTTGAAATATCACAACCACCATTACTTGCATCAAAGCAGTGACCCCTTGATAAATAAAATAAAAAAACCTACACCACACCTCCATTTCAAAACTAAAAATGAGTAAAACATTCCGTACCATAGTTATTGGAAAAGAACGCTTGAGGAAGATATTGCCAGCCAGCAGTAAAGGTCCAATATTGAAATTAAACTTAAATACTGCTGACCAGTTTCGAAACATAGTAATTTATGTCGCGATGGAAACATATTTGAAAATATATTTATATATATATATATATATATATATATATATATATATATATATATATATATATATATATGTCTGTGTGTGTGTGCCTGTGTTTGTGTGTGTGTGTTGGGGATTAGCCAAAACTGAGGTTGGAAATGAAATAGTAATCTTTATAACATTAATCATAATACAATACTCGCCAGTGGCGTGAAATAGGTAAACCATGCTAGTGGTGGACTGCTTAGACAGCATATTACCCCCCCACCCCATTTACCCTAGGGTCCAACGTATTTATGAGATTTGGTACATACCCATTATTGTTCATATGTAAGTTATCTCTCTCTCTCTCTCTCTCTCTCTATATATATATATATATATATATATATATACAAGAAATAATCACACATAGAATTAATCAGAAGTATCAATGCGATTATTGGCAACATCCATCGCTAGAAAACATAATATATGCATTAAAATCCTGTTCATCCATAGTGCGAGTTTTGATCCTTGAAGAAAAATTTGTTGTCTGTAGTTTTTCAGTTTATTCGATGTGAAAATGCTAGTACATACGGACGGTCTTCCATCCATCATCAGGCATGTGTTTTTTTTCTTATAAAATCAAAAACTTGAGACGATATACCTGTATGTCGACCGAAAGATGTTTTTTGAATATCTGCTATTATTGACGGTTGTGTAAGATCTCGGAACGTGCAAAGACGCAACGCTAAGTTTTTCAAAATTTTAAGTGAGAATTTTATTTAAATATTTCTTGTGATGTGTTAAATCCACGTATTCTATTTTTACAAGTGTATTCAGTTTTTATGTCATGAACTAAGTATATAGTTCAATAATATAGTGTAATGTCATAATAGTAATTTTTTTTATAGGAATTTTTATGTACTGCGGATCGATAGTTTTTTAATAAACATAAAACATTAGGCAGCATATGATTTACATACAAAGAATAATCACACATAGAATTAATCAGAAGTATCAATGCAATTATTGGCAACATCCGTCGCGAGAAAACATAATATATGCATTAAAATCCTGTTCATCCATAGTGCGTGTTTTGATTGTTATATAGCCGCCTGAAGATTGCGAGAACTTGAACTTAATTAATGACCTCGCTGTGCGTCCTTGAGTAGTGACACTATAAAGCTTCTTCTTTTTTTTTTTTTTTTTTTTTTAGATCTTTCTGGATTGCCCTGGCATTGAACATGATTGTTTACTGCTTAAGTAAGTGCTTGTATTTTGGGTTTATTTCCTTGTCAAAGGTTTTTCTTTTTTTATAGGTCTTTTCATAGGTAATCTGTTGGCGACATATAACGCAAAATTCTTCTTTCGCATTTCTCCCCTGTAGACATCTCATCCGGCTTCTTCCTCCACAGTCAACTATGATCTTCAAAATTTTAAATACAATGGCAATCGTTGTGTACTGTTTCTTAATTCTTGTTCTTTTACTGTTCCCTCTCTTTAATAGTGTTTTTATTTTCATATTCTCTTGCACTCAGTAACCCTTTAGTGGCCTTATTGCCTTGCTTGGGTTGAGATGTTTAAAAATATATACATATATAGAGAAATACATTCTGTTCGCCCTTGTGCGTTTAACTGAATATGCATGTTAACTACAGACCTTATCAAACACGCTGTTCTCAAATATAGTCTTCTTAATTACTAAGATTTCGCAATAGAGAAAGCAGATTATAAATGGATCCCCTGCCACAATTTCCGCACCTCGAAGGGCAAAGCCATTTCCAACTATTACCTACGAAACCATACATAACCCTAAACCAATAAAATCAATAAGGACATTATTTGTGCCCTAACCATTCAATATTGTGCCTCTTCCAAACATATCTTTCGTTCACCCTATTTTTATACATCGTTTTTGTTCATCTAAACCTATTCATACGACACTGTTTCTTCAATCACACAATTATTCGCTAATTCAACCTGTATTCTTCACATCTGACAATATAAAGAGAACACTGACGGCGTTTCTTTGATGCAAACAAAAATATTTTCTGGTTTATTTCAATGTGGGATTTTTATAGTGATGTTTTTGCGGGAAATGAGTTGCCCCCCCCCCTCCCCGCACACACACACTCCCGTGTGAAATGTTATCTCGTTGTGCATAAATACGCAGGAAGAGATAAAAGGCGTGTTCTTAGTCCGGGATATCTGTTTAAGAGAAACAATTCATGAAGACAAAGAAGCAAGAGGAAAAAAAAAAAAAAGAAACGCTAAAATACACAATGATAAGAAATGATATGTTTAATGAAGTATCTTACAAAAATAAGACAGAAAATGAGAGCGATTACGAATGAACAAAGACAACGTAGAAAATGGTGGCAAGTATTTAAAAAAAAACTGACGAAGTACCCTCACATGAAGAAACAACGTAAG